AGGAGGAGGAGGAAAAGGAGAAGAGGAAGGAGGAAAAGGAGAAGGAAGAGAATGAGAAGAAGGAAGAGAAGGAGGAGATGAAGGAAAAAGAGAAGGAGGAGAAGGAGAAGAAAGAGAAGGAGAAGGACAGGAGAAGGAGAAGGAGAGGAAGAGGAAGAAAAAGAAGAGGAAGAGGAAGAAGAAGTTTTTCTGTACAGGAAATAAGTGGGCCCAGAGGGTTTTCTACAGTGTAGGTAGCCCTTTTAGTGAAGGAGAAATTGGATGTTTATTCTGAAGGTCCAGATAAATTTGTCAGTGTGTTTCAGACTCTGACCCTGTCAACTGATCTGTCCTGGAAGAGAGAGATTTATTCTTGTTACTTTCTACACTGCTATAGATTATGAGGAGGCAGAGATGATTGCTAGGAATCAAGATAACAACTGCTCTACCTGTGGTGGGTTAAAATACTGAGAAAGAAATATGGATGAGAACAAAAGTCCTGAAGATTCCTATTGGGTGAATGAAAAAGAACATAATTAATTCACTTGTTTATGACAAAGTCAGAAAAATCACCAAAGGGAAATCTGGAAATTCTGTTCTTTTCAAGTACACTCAAGGAAGCTTTCTGTAAAGATGATAATACTGACCCTATAACTTTAGAAGCAAAAGCCTTAATGGGACAATATTTCATAACACAAAAATTACATTTTGGACCCAGGTCACTAATCCTGCTAGTGGGAATGACCTTCATTGTCTATAGAAATCAGAACCTAAAAGAGGAAAGACAATTAATTTAGAGACATGCCACAACCAAAAGAATGACAGCCATAATTGGGGTTGTCCTTAATGGAATACTCAAGTTCGAGCAAAGCCTGGACACTGGTAAAATACTTCAACAGACCTTCATTCAGCTCCTGTTATGTTTTCCAAGAACATAGGGAGAGTTAACGACCTCTAAGACTTTATGGCCCCAGGAAATGGATGACTAGGAAATCCCAGAGAGATTGTCATTGCTTCCACCAGAAAACCTCTTCATTGTCACTGATGAATCACAGTAAGCTCAGGATGTTATGAGTAAGCAAATTCATCTTCTATAGATATGAACTGTAATCATGGATAACAATGGGTCCAAAATTGTGAACGGAAGAGAAGATTAAAACAGAAGCCATAATCTCTCTAAATCAGCGGCTCTCAACCTGTGAGTTGCAACCCCTTTGAGGGGCTCAAACCCCATGTTCATGGGAGTAACATCAGATACCATACATAACAGATATTCACATTCTGATTCATAACCATAGAAAAATTACAGTTATGAGGAAGCAATGAGAATCATTTTATGGTTGGGGATCACCACAACATGAGGTAATATATAAAGAGGCCACAGGATTAGGAATCTTGAGAACCACTACTATAGAACAGTAGCAGAGATGCCCTCATTGCAAGGACTGTGAACAGGATGGTGGTGAGTCTTCTGAGAGAAGTAGGTCTTACTTACATGACAATCTTCAGTGGAAGTAAGCTTTAATGAACACATTATTATTATTATTATTATTATTATTATTATTATTATTATTTTGGATAGGTAGAAGATTTTTTTTCCAGTAGAACAGAGAGAGCTATGGAAGTAACAGACTTTACTAAATTTTCCCTCGGATACTTTTAATTCACAATAACCTAAGGAGTGTCTAAGGCATTAAATAGTATTTATATTCTTCTAAGATTCCTCAGCTTTCGAGAAAAGCCCAAGGAGCCAACAAAATATTAAAATGTGTACTAGACAAACTTTCCCAAGACTTCAAAAAAATGGTCACCTACATTCTTCATTGCCTTGGTGAATATACAAAACAGGCCTCTTGTGAGATACTTTTCAGGGAGCAATTATTTCCTGTTTGCTCTAGGTTTTTTTTTTTTCAAGAGAGTACAGTTCGAATTGGTCCACAGATGGACCTTCGGCAGTAGATGTCTGAATTTAAATGGCCAGACAAGTGAAGAGGAGTAGCGGGGACATGGACCAAGGAAAGGAGGAAGTCCATGCAAGGGCACAGTGGAAGTGCAATGCCTGCTAAATGATTAACCTTCCGGCTTCCTGCAAGGAACTGTGAGACTGACTCCCACCCAGCTACTTGAGGCAGTTTCATTGTGTAGGCAAAAAGGGAATTTAATTGTTGAATTCCAGGCTACATGTGTGCATCAGGGCCTGGCACTTGCAGTTTGCTTAACTGTATTGCATCCCTTTTAAATGGCACTAATCCCTGTTGCTTATATCTTTCTACTCAGAGAAGGGGTTATAAGAAGCCAGCATCAGCGGAGAACTGACCCTTACCAGAAGCCTATTTGCAAGGAGAACACAGGTTCAGTCCTTCTAGAAATCAACTAGCTACTGGCAATCAGCCCAAGGGGAAGAACAGGAAACAAATGTAAGATGAAGGCCCATTCTGAATCAACCCCAAAAGGTAACATCTTTCTTCCCACCAGGCACTTCCACTGTGTCCTCGCTTGGACTTTCTTCTTGGTCCATGCTCCTGCTATCCCTCTTCACTTTTCTAGCCATTTAAGCTCTAACATCTTCGGCAGAAGGTCCATCTCTGGACCAATTTGAATTCTATTCCTATAAAAATCTACTAATTGCTTCCCCCTCACTAAATAAAATCACAAAATTACTTCAGCTATTATTGGATTCTTAAGAAGATACTTGATACTACTGAAGGTCAGATAATTCAATCAAGTCAAAATATCTTAGAATCTTCCTTCCAGTTGGTACTAATCTGGTACACAGAGGGTGGCCTCATGGAGCCCCACCTGGAGGTCAGAACCCTAGCCTACTAACTGGATACCATATTGAACCCAACCTTGAGCAACTGAAAAACAAAACAAAAACAGAAAACAAACCAACAAACCAACCAACCAACCAACAAACAAACAAACCTGCCATGACCATGAGATTACTTAGAATCAAATTCAGGCTCAAGTAAACCCTTGTGGGAGTGGTCCTCCAAATGAAAGCGACTTAGACTTACTGCAGGACAAAAGGACATTGCTCATAATTCCAGGATGGATGCTTCTTTTTAAAAACCTGGAAAAGTACAACACAATGTCAAAAATATTTTCAGAGTAGTGGATACAACTGAGAGTCTACATATCAGTCTTTCAACTCTAAGTGGGTAAAGAAAATGCTGCTGGCATTCCCTAGGATCCTCCTCTCTCTTATTCTCTTGCTTATTCTAGGGCATGATAGTTGGATGGATGGATGGATAGATAGATAGATAGATAGATAGATAGATAGATAGATAGATGGTGTGTATATGTGTGTGTATGTGTGCATGTGTGTGTATGTGTGTATGCATGTGCGTGTGCATGTGCATGTCCATGTGCGCGTGCACGTGTGCATGTGCGTGTGCGTGTGCGTGTGCGTGTGCGTGTGTGTGTGTGTTTATGTATGTATGTAGTACCTTTTGGGGTTGATTCAGAATGGGCCTTCATCTTACATTTGTTTCCTGTTCTTCCCCTTGGGCTGATTGCCAGTAGCTAGTTGATTTCTAGAAGGACTGAACCTGTGTTCTCCTTGCAAATAGGCTTCTGGTAAGGGTCAGTTCTCCGCTGATGCTGGCTTCTTATAACCCCTTCTCTGAGTAGAAAGATATAAGCAACAGGGATTAGTGCCATTTAAAAGGGATGCAATACAGTTAAGCAAACTGCAAGTGCCAGGCCCTGATGCACACATGTAGCCTGGAATTCAACAATTAAATTCCCTTTTTGCCTACACAATGAAACTGCCTCAAGTAGCTGGGTGGGAGTCAGTCTCACAGTTCCTTGCAGGAAGCCGGAAGGTTAATCATTTAGCAGGCATTGCACTTCCACTGTGCCCTTGCATGGACTTCCTCCTTTCCTTGGACCATGTTCCTGCTACTCCTTTTCACTTGTCTGGCCATTTAAGCTCCATGACCATGAAAGAGACTGAATGGGATCAAATTCAAGCTCAAATAAAACACTTCTCTCTCTGATTCTCTTACTAGCTATCTTTCTATCCATCCATCCATCCATCCACCCACCCACCCACCCACCCGCTCATCATCTGCCTATCTATCTATCTATCTATCTATCTATCTATCTATCTATCTATCAACTTGGTTGACCATAGCCAAAGGAATACATCTCCTAGACCTGTGATTAACAGGCTGACAAGTTTTGTGTACACATTCCAATTGGGGTCTCAGATTAGGGACAGAATAAGAGAGATTTTCAGCCCTACTCAGCTCTACACCACTATTCAACATGAAGCTGTTACAAGAAGACTGACCTTCTGCCTTCAGCTTACCTAATGAATTCGGTGAAAGTCTCTCAGAGGGAAGTTGAGGCAGGCAAGAACAGGGAATAAGTTAGTGGCCTGGGACCCTATTTGGTTTTGTATTATGCATCCATCTCTTAAACTTGGTAGCCTAGCTCCCTCACCTGCATACACCTGTATTTCTAAACAATGCACAAAGGAATCTCTGACCCTATTAGTACTCTGTCTGCACTAGGTTACAGGTACACCCTCTCTGAACAAGATTAAAAATTTCTTCACTCACAACAACAATTAAATTTAGACAGTGTCTATTCAAGTGTATTTCTAATGTACCTAGTATAAAGAACAGAAAAAGGGAATATCAGGCCCAAACTGTTTTCAGAGGTTTACACAGTAAGGCAAACTGTCTCCTTCAAGTGAACTTTTAGGAAGAATACCATACTTACAGTTGCTGCCTTTGCATAATCAGACTTACATATAATTATAATCAGATGCATTATGGGAAGGAACATGTACAGCAAGAAAAAACATATTTGACCTACTTTATCAGTCAAAACACAGAACCTCACAAGATATTCTCCAGTGTGTCCAGACCTGCTTTGTTTTATACTTCCTGACTTCTCTTATTTATGGGGCCCACTGTCAATCTTAAGGGTGTATTACTATCGAACCTGTAGCATTGCTTCAATCAGAATAAATTTACATTGTTTCATTGCAAATCTTGTGAGTCCTTATTGTCAGTTAATTTCTGGATAAGAGACCATGGAAACAACCCTAAGTATAACCAAGGTTAACAAGAGGACATCTTGGAGTCAGTTCTTTCCTTTCACCATGGGTGGGGGGGTCCCAGTGATCAAATTCTAGTCAGTATGCTCTGATGGATAGTCTTAATGCAGTAATCACATAGATTATTCTGATTAAACCCAGGGGATGGTACAAAGTGTCATAAATCTTGCAAAGAGACTGGAGGAGTGTGTGTGTGTGTGTGTGTGTGTGTGTGTGTGTGTGTGTGAGAGAGAGAGAGAGAGAGAGAGAGAGAGAGAGAGAGAGAGATCTGAGAACTAATTTAATAAAAAATTAAAACAAACAATGAAACAAATAAAAAGTATCTTATCGTGAACAAATTTCAAACATTGGTCAGTCTCTTTTGGGCCTTAGGCTTGGTACACCCAATCTGTGTTAGGAATGAATCCTAGTGAAACAGTCACTAAAAGCAATGTCTCATCATGATAAATGCCCACTCTTGTGACTCGATGTTTATCAGCCTCTTCAATCTTCACCCCTTGTACTTAGGTTTTCAGTGTTCTTTTAGCTAATAACTTAATTAATTAATTAATTAATTAATTTACATTCCGATCACAGCTTCCCTCCCTTCTCTCTTCCCAGGCCCTCCCTCTCCCCTCTTGTTCTGCTCAGAAAAGGAGAGGCCTCCCAGGGACATCAACCTGCCTTGGCATATCAACTTGCAGTAGGAAGAGGTGCATCCTCTCCCATCTAGGCTAGACAAGGCAACCTAGTCAAAGGAAAGGGATCCAATGGCCGTCAACAGAGTCAGAGACAGCCCTTGCTCCTCTGTTAGGGATCTCACAGGAAGACTCAGTTGCACAACCGTTGTATAAGTGCAGAGGTCCCAGGTCTGTCCCATGCATGCTCTCTGGTTGGTGATTTAGTCTCTGTGAGACCCTATGGGTCCAGGTTAGTTGCTTCTGGAGATCTCCCTGTGGTATCCTTGACCTCCCTGACTTCCTTAATCCTTCCTCTTTATCTCCCACAGGATTCCCCAAGCTCCACCTAATGTTCTGCTGTGGGTCTCAGCAACAGCTGAGTTGCTGGGTGGAGCCTCCTAGATGACAGTTATCCTAGGCTCCTGTCTGCAAGTACAGCAGAATATCATTAATAGTGTCAGGAGTGGGCTCCCTCCCATGGCATGGGTCTCTAGCTTGACTTGTACTTGGTTGTCCACTTCCTCCAATTCCACCTCCACCTCCACCTCCACCACTGTACATCCTGGCGGTCCTAATCTCTCCACCAGAAGTCCTGATGTAGAGCCTGAGTACAGGAGATAGTCTTTTAGGTTTCATATCACTATTGCTAGGACTCTTAGCTAGGGTCACCCTCATAGATTCCTGGGAGTTTCTATTTTTCTAGGTTTCTAGCTGATCCCAGAGATGCTCCCCCCATTCCAGTTCTTTCTAAGCAAACAACTTTTTAAGACAGGTTAACAAGAATCCATCCCCTCGATATAGATTGAATTACTCTCAGATTTTTCTATCTACTGGTCCTTCACTCTGCTCATTCTGTTTAAATCTGAAGCTATGTGTTCCTATTCCTTCCTCTTCAGGAGCTCCATTAAGACCTGCCTTGATGGTAACCATGTGCCCCACTTATAACTTTTCTTTTTGTTACCACCAAAGGTTTTCTGCACAATATAAACAATAAGAGATTAATTATAATCAGTGTATACCGGTGAGACAAGAAGAACCATAGTGGCAGAGAGAAACAATGGAGAAGAAGAATGAAGGTTTTTTTTGAGTTTTTTATTAATCATTGTTTTTGTTTACATTTCAAATGATATCCCCCTTCCTGGCTACCCCTCCACAAATCCCCCATTCCATTCCCCTTTTCTCCCCCTTCCCTTTGCCTCTATGAGGGTGCTCCTTTTCCCTCTCACCCACTCCTGCCTTACTGTCCTAGCATCCCCTTATGCTGGGGCATCAAGCCTCCACAAGACCAAGGGTCTCCCCTCCCACTGATGTCAGATAAGGCCATCCTATGCTACATATGTATTGTTTTTAAAAAGGATGATTTTTTTTACTTAAATAAATGAATAACTTTTACAGAGTGCAAAAGAGAAAGTATAAATGAATTCGTCTATAAAATTTTAAATAAAACGTTTATATCAAATATTATGTGGTTGCAGTGCTGTTATTGGCTTTTCTCTATTGAAATGATGACATTTTCTTAGATTAGTCATGTTTTCTTTATAAGACAAGGTAAAAGACTTTCTTTACCTTATTAGTAATCACTCAAGAAGTTAAACATTTGGGTTCTAACAGAATAATTTTCCATGTTCAGTATTGATTTGACCATGTTCTTGATTATTACAGAAATAAGATCTTCATTTTAAATATCAGGAGAGTCCCTCAAATGAAGTATCACCTATATCTTCTTTAAATATACTCTGTCCCCTTTTAGGGATTAAATTTAGGTATTTACATATCATATGCACATACTGTTGTAGAATTAGCCCTTAATCCTTAAAACTATTTCGGCGCCACTTCGGTTAAATAGGAAATCATATTTGGCTTCTGAGTACCGCCTTCCTATTCAATTGTGGTCAGGTTATCTGAAAGCTTTGTGTGTTTTATACTCCCCAAATAAAATGCTAAATGAGATCATTAGCTTTGCCAAGAAAAAAAAATATACATCTAAAGTTGAGTGAAGCAAATACGATTACAGCAGACTACCGTGAGAAGAAATCAACAAAGTCTAATCCAGAGATCTCCAGTAAGGAAAATGTAAATGGATCTTTGATAAGCAGAGGTCCTGGGGTCAATGGCAGGAAAGTGATGGAGACAGAGTAATAAAAGTTTGTGTGTAGTTTTATGGAACCTTGATGAGAATTTCAATAGGCTATGAGAGAATGGAATAGTCTCCAGTGTCAGAGTTTTTACCTTAGAAGGACTGTTTGGCATGCTGACAAAATCAGTGATGTGTGCTTTTAGTTATCACAAACGAAAAAATGGAAATATTAAGGAAACTTGATATATTAACTAAAGAAGCAGCAGCTAAAACCAAGGCTGTCCATTTCTCAGGAGTCTAGGTGTGCTGGATGGACCTTTCTGATTGTCCAGCCACTAGCACGTCTCCTTAAGATTTCTGATGCTCTTGGTGGTGTTCTATAGTACCTGGGCAAACTCTCTTAGGAAGCACTTCAAATGGAAATATTTAGTGGTAAGGATAGTGGCCTGTCTAGAAGAAAATAGGGCCCAGTCATAGCCTTCCGCAGCAACGATTCTCTATAAGTCCAGAACAACACATTGGGATTTATCTGCTCAAAACAAACAGAAAACACAGGATACAACAAATAGATACAAAGTGGTTCAAGTCTTACAGGAAGGAGAAGAGAGAGAGAAAGAAGAAGGTTAACTTAGAGATATAGAGATATTTAGAGAAGTAATTGGATATTTAAAGCAGTTGATCAGAAACCTTGGTTGAAGGCTGGCAATTTGTGCAAAGAACAGAAAATTTGATGAGGGGTGACAATTTGTACAAGGTATAAGAACCGAGTCTAGTTTGTAATTTGAGACCCAAATTAACATGTTCATAGTGGAAGAGGAAACCAATTAAATCTCTGCTAAACATAGCTTGCATATCCAACAGTCACATGCAGTTTACAAGAGATACAAAGAAGTTGGAACACAAGTGCACAGGACTAGACTCTGATGATCCAGAAGACTGGCCCACTGTCCTCTGAAACATGCATGTCTTCCTAAAGTCTCTCCCACTTTTTGATCAGAGATAAGAATTTTTCTTGACCCCTCAGTCAGGGATTTGTTTGATTTTGTTGGGCTTGTCTTAGCTATCCACACAAGTGTCACAAGAATGGCAAGTTTCAGGAGGATTTTCTTACATTTGCTCTTCTGGAAAATGCAGCAGAGAATCTGAAACTTCTCAAAGCTTCTGTGGGTAAGAAGTCAAGCTAAACGCTCACCACGGTATGTGGCTTGGATAACATGTTGTGATGGTAGGGATTCTATTTTCCTCAGGATCCCAAAGAGACTTTGACTCCTGAGCCTGATGGGAAGCTATTTCCTTCCTCACCTGTATGGCTGAAGGCCCTGAAAGCCAGAAACCAGGCAAGATTCCCTGACATAGTCAACCATAGTTCTTAAAGTAGTATAGTCAAATTTTATGAAATAAGAGTCATTCTCAAATACTTGGTTAAATTACCTGTGTTTCCAATTATGTCCCATTAGCAAGAACATGACACACTTCTACTGAATCTAGAAACAAACACCTCCTTAGTAATGAAAATGAGAAAACTCAGGAAGAATTTCTGAAATTTGAGAGGGTGAGGAGGAGAAAGAAAATTTTCACATCTGTTTATAAGAGATGAGCACAGTCTAGGGAAATATTTTGAGTGACAAATAGCTAGAGCCAAAGATATTCCTTTCACACAGAAAATAGAGGATCAAAGCACAAATACCCTTGCAGAGAAATCCTGTAGCCACTCATCAGCCAATCTGTCCTCCATGATTAATTCTTGTTCTACTTCATCTTGGATGAGCAGTCATGGGCCTACAGTATCTTTTCAACTATAGAGATATGGCAATCTCAGCTCTTACATTGCTATGACCCATAATTATTTAAGAAGCACCATCAGAGGCTTCTGGCATGGTCATTTTCTGAGTATCTGAGATAGTTCTATTTTGTTGCTGATAAAGCTCCCTGCCCTGTACCTAATTTGCTGGTAATGGTTGGGAGGTGTCAGAGCATAACACAATCAACTAGAAAAGACAGAGTTAAAATGTCTGTGGTTGCCATTACTTAAAAAGTTTGAAAAGTAAAAGACCCTATGAAAGTTAACTTCAAAATAATGCAATTGATGGAGAAATTTATCTGGCACTTAAAGTCAATTCAAAAGTTTTAGGCTAAATATACATGCATGGAAAGATTAATTCTATTTTTCAAAGAAGAGTGCATATGGCATCTAACTTATGAAATAGATAAGCATAATTTTCACAGAAAAAGATTTCAGATGTAATAGTCATGAGCCATCATATGTCATAAATATCAAGCATGTAGTTAACATATACCAAGAGTATATATATCAAACAAATATATTAAGCATATCTGCAAAAGGAAGAAAAACCCAAAAGAAATAATCTATGCTTGCCTTGCTGACAACTCAGAAGAGCTCATTGCAGTTAAAAATCCATCAAATCAAATTACTTCTATTAGCTAAAGATTCACCTGAAGCATGTGAGTTTGAGTTTTAAAACATCTTATTAAAATCTTTATAATAATACTTGCTTTTACATTGGTCATATAAAAACTCTGATTTCTTAATTTTTATAGGCTTTCATTTAGCTCCAAGCCATTCCAAAAATGAGCTCCTTTAAGGGATTTTATAATTGTTGTAATACCATCTGGATGTAAGAAAATATTGCACAAACACTGTTCTTACAGGCACACACATGCATGCATGTATACATACATATATTGACAGAGACATAAATAGTTTAACATCTTCCTATTTTAAATTTAGTCATAGTTGAAGCATTATCACAGAAACATAAACTTTATTGCTTTGTAGAAAAGAATGGAACCTCATTGCCTGCTTTTTTTTCATTTTTACAAAGATTATGGCTTTTGGCAGATGGGTAAATTGAGGCTTAATATAAAAGCCGAAGCTTTCTCATTATTATTGGTGTTGTACAGCTTTGTGTTGACCTTTGACCTGATGTTTAATTCTGTGAAGCTTGTGGGCTAAAGCAAGGAGAAAGAGGGGAGAGACAGTGGCTATTATCTGATGTCGCTCAGGCCTGCTCTTGTGACTACACATTTAGTTTGCTTTTACCTAGACTTTTTAGCCTCATACTGTTGCTGTTGGTGTCCCTAAGCTCACACAGAGCCACCAGTAATGGGAGAGAGACTTACAAGAGAGCATAAGAAATTAACTGACAAAGTGAGATCTGGCAATTGAAGGCAAAGAAGTAGAGTGGGTAGAGGTATAGAAGTTGAGAAGATTGAAGGACTTAAGCCAGATAAGTAAAGACAGAGGAGGATAGAAAAGTTGGAGTGAGAATAGGTTATAGGAGTGTCTTAGGATAAGAGACAATGGGGAAGAAAGATGATCTCTGAGGGAAAGATGGTCTCTGATGCTGCCTCTGAAAAACGTTTTGAAGGAATGACATGGTTTCCATCTGCACCAAATAAGTGAATGGGGGAAAGGCTGTATGCTACTTGGATGAGTTCTCAGGAGTATGAAATCAAGCAGCCTCACAGAATGAGACAGTTTAGGAAGATCCCAGCTTCTCTCAAGAGCATATACTGAAGTCTGGGGTATGTGGGGTAATGGATGACTGAAAGATTACCTAGACAGTGAAAGAATTGCCTGCTAGTGCTAGGAGCTTTGGACCTGAAACTGATGTATGATTTCCTCAGAAGGATTCACAAAGTTTAATCGTATATTTACAAATGCAGAAGGATTTAGAGAAACAGTAGAAAAGATAAAATTAAGGAAAAACAAGTAGACTTAGAGAAATACAAAAAATATCTAGAAAACTAGGCTACTGGAGTTGGGAGGGTAGAGACTCACCATTTTCGATTTTGCTTTCCAAGTCAGGTTTCAAAGAGTTCAATAAGGTAGCATCATCACTTGGGTGAAGAGAAAGGGATGGAAGTCAGCATACTGTCCAAGTCACAGTAAGTTGTAGAAAAAAGACAGTTGAGGGGCAGTCAGAATTTTGTTCAAGTTATGGCATCATTACCACTATAGTAAACCGTCTAATCTGGACACGAACATGGAAACATTTTATTAAGAAGTCTACTGCAATAGGAAGAGGGGAGAATCATCTCACAAAGACTCTTAAAGCTTAAATCACAAATGTCTCATGGAAAGAATGGGCGAGCAACGTTTTATACATACACAGACTCTTGATTTCTTAAAGAAGTAAGGAAGTGAGAGGTGGAGGTGAGGGTGTTTCTAAAGCTCAGGAAATACCACCAAATTCTCAGATAAGAGGTAAGTATTGACAGGAACTGTTGGTTTGTGGTTTGCATGCACAGGAAGAAGCTTCACTTTAGCTGGCTAAACAAAGAATGGGAAAAGTACAGAACGATGAGTGGTTGGTGTCTAGTGATCCTTAGCAAACCAACTGATACTTGTGTCAAGTACAACATTTGATTAGCTTCATTAGCCCCCAAAATTAGTCACATCTCTGAAAGGCCCCTCGAAAATCATGAAGGCTTTTTTCCTTTCACTGGAAAAGGAGTTAGAAATAGTGCTGGTTATTTGAAGTGCTACAATGAGACACATAGGAAATAGTATCAAATCCCAAGAAGTTCATGGGCAGTATGTTAGATTTATATGAGTTAACATTAGTAATATGAATGATTTAAACCTTGTATTCTTCATGGGAAGGATGAAGATGAAAGTTAGTGTTTCTACTGCTCACGATAGAGCTCTCTGTATCAGACTCCTTCTGCAGCTTTGTGTACTCTAAGACAATAAATAGTGTAGTATTATGCCATTCAAATTACTTTGGGGACATTAACATGGTTGTAAGATTATTTGTACATCTTAGGCTGCTTGTCTTCCCTTCAGGACTCATGCCACTGATCTTTGAAATCTTGATGCTTAAAATTTACTTCTAATATAGGCACCTATTTACATGGGAATCTTGATACATTTGGGAGAAAATTTTAGTGATGTTATGTGTATGTATGACACGTAATATATTAGAAGGTTTGTATTTTGTCTAAAGTACTTTCTCTGTGATAATTACATATATCTACTTTCATAAATTAGAAATGCTATCCATCCTTCTTTTGAGATATTCTTTAAATATTGTATTTATACATATCTTACATAAATATTTTATTTTGGATAGACTTTGTTTTGTAATGAATTGGAATAACTAATGTGCCTGTCAGCTGGATTAAAAACTGTTCAGGCTACCCATTTCTGAAAAATGTCAACAGTTTCATCTTGCTGGGTAGTTAGATTTTTTGGCTAGTTTACTTTACTCTGTTGCTGTGTGACACCTTTATGATGAGCTGTAAGCCAGAGAGTTGTATCTTTAACAAGGAAGAATTGTTGGCTAGCCTGGCTGAGTACATATAATGTTTTTCACCCAACCCACTAACTTCAGCACATTCTCCTTTCACAGCTCTGTTCACCTCTGCAATTCACTGAATCCCGTGCTCTCCTGAAATACCAGCACCAGTGTGATGGTCTTGCTTCAGTTAGTATGTACCTCATTCACATGGATTAGCAATCCTACTGAGAAACATGACCTAACATTCATTATGTTGCTAGATCTGATCTTAAAATGGACACCAGAAGTTAGGAAGAGGAATCTATCGTCTATCATTTAAAATAGGTTGGTGGAACTTGATTCTTTACTCACAGTAAAACTGGTTCTGGTGGAAAGATTATTGCACTTGCAGAGCTTGTCAGCTAGTCAAAATTAGAGAATGAATGCATATGAGCACAGACATAGTTTGGGAGTAGATTAAGATATGATAACCTGAGAAACTTTCAAGACATCTTTGTTGTCTTGGATTGAGATTCTCCTACAGTAAAGGAGATATGTTAAACATAAAGCTGGAACAGGACATGAAGTCAAGCAAGCTGCTTCAAGAAATGTTATTATACAACATTATCTCTCAAAGGGTAAATCTTAGTGACACTGAAAATGAAAAAGAGCCCTCCTGTTTTATGCTTTACTGACACAATCCCTGGTACTCTCGAGATGGCCTTTTGTGATTCCACATCATTTCAAAGGAATATTAATAAAATTTCTCCATAAAGGTACTTAAGGAGTGGATTGCCACCAATGCAGTGCCTGTCACATGATAGCCAGTTATTTTCAGGACATATGTCAACTGCTAGCAACATAATTCTCTAAAAACTATAAAAGAAAATGGGGCAAGCTTGGCACCCAAATCCTCAAAGGTACTTTGAAAGCAATCAGGTAGATTTTACCCAACATCCACAGGATTTAAAAATGTCTTATTGTACATCAGGACCTGGCACATCATTTTCTTTTTGAGAAACTACAGTTATTAGAGTTATTGAAATTGGATAGTAGATTCATTTTTAAATTTAGACATTCTATATTTTGCACTAAGTGATGAGAACTTACTTAGTAGAAACACCTATGAAAGACTTATGTAAAATATTACTCATTATACCAAAAACTATACTGTATTTATCTCCTACATTCTTTTGGATAGACTAATGGCATCCTTTCACTAAGTTAGGGAAATTTGCAAAGACATTTGGACTTAATATGCTAAAGATGCTCTGAGTAGCCTGAAGTTTTTCAGTCTCCTCAGTCAAGGATACATTGGTTATGCTTTTGAATCAGACATTGAAAGCTTAACTTAAAAAAAATTATTAGAGAATTTTGTACAAGTATATAATGTGTCTTGATCAAATCCATCCCATCTCCCTCCCATCCAACTGCTATCATACCTCTGACCACATCTCCTTCCCAGATTTGCAACACATGGAATCCACTACAGAAAACCCAATCAGTCAAAATGAGAATTGTGGAGTTGAGCTGATGAGTACATCTACAAAACACTCTTGCAGCAGATCACAGAAAATATTCTATAGGAGGTGGTGAAGAGATTGTAAGGGCCAGAGGACCAAGGGGTTTGGTGTGAGCTTATTTTTTTTTTAGTAATGTCAGAAGTTACACTTACAGACTACTATCAACATAACTGCCTAGACATCAGTTGAGCAAGGGTGACACTGATAGACTTACCAAAGAGGATGGGGGAAAGCCAATGAGGTCTCAACCCCACAGAAAGAACTACAGAACCTAAAGAATTCTGAGAGTTGGAGAATTTACCTTCCCTAGGGAAGAACATACCAATTGGTTATTTAATATTAATTCCATACCCTCTTTTAAAACCTACTAAATTCAGCATGTGCATGAATGTGGTACCATCTGTTGGAACATGGATAGCCTATCACGTTTGACATTTACCTCTTCTGCTACCCTGTCTTATTGCATAGTGACATGATAAAACATGTAAAATATTTATATTCTTTCCACTGAGGGTTAAGTCTACCTATTTACATTGTTTCTCAAAACTACATTTTCATGATCTTCAACTAGAATATTTCATCTATTAGAAGAGACTTGAGAGTAATTGTTCTTGACTTTATCGGGTGAGACCTTACTTAAGTACTGTTAACAATAAATCCAGTAGTAAGATTCCAGTGAGTCAATGTTTGGGGCAATTTAGAATTCTAACCAATAGGAAGAGTACTGTAATCAGGATTCTCTACTCGAGTACCCTAAAGCCGGTAGGTAGAATTGATTTTAAATGTAAATACTGGCCCAAGACTTTTATACCAACTTGCAACTTTGGAAAGTGGGCAGCTTTCACCAACAATGTTCTAGCAAAACTCCTATGCTTAACTATCTTTTTCAAAAATCTACTTGCTAATCACTCTTTTAATTTTCTATAGGCCTTTGGTCAGTTGTGGTCTCATCAAATCAGACCACAAAAATTATAGTGGCTAATGTTTCCAATGGAGCCCATATGAAAAGCGACCTTCAACAAATCACCCTATGACTTAGTTTTTTTTCTGAAAAAAATATTCTACTATGTTGACCAGGGACTATGCAATTTAAATATCGAATTTAATAACTTTCAGAGCAATGGGCCATATATTTGCCATCTGGAAGGAATTAATAGAGATATAAATATGTTATCTGGCTAGGGAACATAATTCTACAGCAATGCTTTATAACATCTGAGGATTTCATCCACCAACCCCTTGAAATTTCCTAGGCTTGTGGTTACTAGGATACAATGTCTGGCTATTTGTCTCAATTAATTTTTTCACCTTACTATTTATTTTTCACTTCAGCATTCTTTAGAAGATATCTATACCTATTCAGAATTCTATAAAAAGACCTTCCCTGTCACCTCTCATCAGATTATTCATTTGGTAAGAGCAACAGTTGCTAGAGTGGCTATTTATTAGAACTGTTTTCATATCATGAGGGATATCTATATTGTTTGGCAACAACTGAATTCATTCATCCTGCATAAAAGGTGGACTGATGGTGTTGAACCTTTCCTGAGCTCTGTATTTATGGAAAATATTGATGATTAAGAAATTGTACATAATACTACCTGAGGATCCAGCTATACCACTCCTGGGCATATACCCAGAAGATGCTCCAACATGTAATAAGGACACATGCTCCACTATGTTCATAGCAGTCATATTTATAATAGCCAGAAGCTGGAATCAACCCAGATGTCCCTCAACAAAGGAATGGATACAGAAAACGTGGTACATTTACATGATGGAATACTACTCAGCTATGTAAAACAATGACTTCATAAAATTTGCCGGCAAGTGGATGGATCTAGAAAATATTGTCCTGTGTGAGGTAACTCAGTCACAAAAGAACACACATGGTATGCACTCACTGATAAGTGGATATTAGGCAAAGAGAGTGGAATACCCATGATATAACTCACAGATCACATGAAGCTCAAGAGGAAGAAAGACCAAGGAGTGGATGCTTCAGTCCTACTATAAGGGGGAACAAAATAATCAAGGGAAATTGAGCATGGGAGGGACTTGGGAGGAAGAGAAGAGGAGAAGAGGAAAAAGGGGGAAGACTCAGGTATGGGAGGAGATGGAGGAGATGTACAGAGGGTCAGAAAATTGAACAGAGATGTGTAGCAATGGGTGAAGGGGATCTGGGAGTAGCAACCAGAAAGTCCCAGACTCTAGAAAAGCAACAGCCTCCCAGAACCCCAAGGGATGACATTAGGTGAAATACCCTACAAAGGAGAGGAAGAACCTGTGGAGACCATATCCAGAGGTTAGGCATGGCCCCCAAGTTGAGGAATGGGGCCATCCAACCATCTTCAAAAT